CCTTGTTCTTTGCTCTTTCTGCTTCATCATTATATTGGCAAGAAAGAGCAATAAAGAGCCATTTAAAGTGTCTATTGACTTAAATATGTTTGGTCTTTGATCGCTGAAGTTTTGATTAATCAGTGACTTGTTTGCTCTTGGTATAAATTAACTTTGTCTTTCTTCTGAGATGGACTATTTGATGGAGCTCATAAAAGGCATTTGGCAGACTGGTGATTGTGTGTGTACACACACTCGTGTGCAAAACTAAACACTAACTCTTCTCAGCAGGCCCATCCCCTTGCATGTACATGTTCAGAAGCAGCCTGGGTAGCAGATTCCCTTAAAGCTTATAAAGCAAATGTGAATGTGTTACTATGACAGACTTATTTTAGTCCTGACACCTTCCTTTGCAGCATAATCAGAGAGATCTGTCAGCTCACCTGCTTTCTTGTACTCTCTTGGGTAACTTAACTTGAAAGTTGGTGTGTAACAACTCCTTTGAGGCTATTTACCCTTCTGAGGGAGTACTACAAAAGGCAAGAATTGACTTCTGAGATTTTCTGGAAAATTTATATTTTAACAACTTCTTAGTCTTAACAGTAGGCTTTCTGAATTATGATTTTGTCCTTCAGTAAGTCAGAAAGGCTATACTAAATCTTTATCAAGCAGATACCTACACATATATTTAATATTTTTCCTGTAATTAGATGGATTCAATTTCTTGGCCTCTCACTTTTCATAATTATGTGTTTAAGCTACATTTTCCACCCAGCATCATGCATTTTTTGGCAACTTACTTTTTAATGTGGGAAGAATAAATGAAAGCAAGGCTGTGTGACCACCTTAGGAGAGTATAGATTGTTACATATATACAGCATGCGTGGTGATTTTTTTTCTTTTTTTTTTTGGTGATTTTTATAATTGATTTATATTTTGGGAAAAGAGAAGGAGTTAGCCCACTCATTCTGTGAATAAAGTAAAAATCATAACTATGATCAAAATGAAGTCAGATGTACCTTCTGCCCGTCATGAGCTGTTTTTCCTCTGTGATGCCTGCCTGCTGTGCCACCCTCCCTTGGAGCCAGCCAATTATGGATTGAAAACTCTACAAATTGTGAGCTAAATAAGCATCCCTTTAAAAACAAAACAAATAAAAACCCAAACAAACAAAATAATGAAGTCAAATATGTCCAGAAAAAAAAAATCTGTTAAGTCACCCATCAAGTATAGCATCCATAGTGTATGTGTGTGATCGTGTGGATAATTATTATTTGCAGTACTGGGGATTGAACCCAGGAATTAATTGAACTACTTCCCTAGCCCTATTATTAAATTTTATTTTGAGATAGGTCTTGCTAAGTTGCCAAGGCTGGCCTCAGATTTTCCTTCTGTTATGATAGATGTGTGCCACCACACCAAGTTTGTGGGGTAATTCTTAAGCACACTGAGATTTTCAATCTGCTGAGCTAGGTTCACGGAAGACAAGGGCTTTCAGCAGAAATCTAGGTCATCAGACCACTTTGCTTCCAGGACTGTGGAAGAGGGACTGGAGAATCGCAGTGTGACTCTTCTTGTGTGCAGGTGTCACACCATTAGGTTTTTAACGAAAAGTCTGAATCTTATTACTGGTAATATGTTTCATTGCTTTGGGAAGGACTAAATGACTTCATGCTTATGTCAACCTCTATCTAATACAGCACTCTGCACGGATACAGTAGACACTCAGAAGGTCTTCTGTGAGTTTGGTCCTGGTTGGTCATGTTCAAGTCCACAGTCATAGGTATTTGAAAAGCTGTCCAGGAATATGTGCATCTGTTTCTTGTCTTCCTGGGTTGGAGTTCCTAGTGGTGATCTTTTCTGAGCAGCCCTGCCTCTTTCCAAACTTTTAAATCTGACTTCAGATAAGTTTTCATGAGTTTCTGAGTAATTATAATTGTGAGTTTAAGGTCAGCCTGGACAACATTGAGAGACCTTGTCTCAATATACTATTTTTTCTTTTTTTGGTGGATTAAAACATGAATATATAAATTACCACAAGATGGCATCAGATCATTTGCAATTATGGCAGGTAGGGAAAGCCTGAGTTCAATGCATCTTTAAAAGAAAAAGTTAAAATTTGTGCCACTCATCTCATGGTATTTAGTTATTGCACATAAACTTCTAATTTCTTTTACCATTCTTGTATGGAAACTTGAGGCTTATGTTTATTCAATTCTAAAAGTAGCTGTGTAGGAAAATTTCTTGGATATTGCAAATAATTATTTACTAAGTAAACAATTTATGGTTTCTTATGTTTGGCTGATATGATTTCCATTTTACTTGTGTTATTTACAAGCAGTGTCTAATGGGAGACCTTTAAGTATTTTTCAGTGCCTCCCTCCCTGATTTTCCATCTGTCCATCATTTCTTAGTCTGTTTTATCTTGAGCAAATTGACGTATTTTTTGTTTGTTTGTTTTCCCAACTAACATGTAAAATCTATGAGACCCTGTAATTTTGTCTCATGACTATATTTTCAGTGCCTAGAACAGTATTTGCTATTGTATGTACTCAAAAACTTAAATGAACAATAACTAGAGACTGTTTCAACTATTATTTAAATCCCTTTTGCCTTAATAAACAAATATTAAAAGTTATATAAATTATGTATAATCTTTAGAAATTTCACTGACAACTGAGTGAAGTAATCAGGACTTGAAGACTTTTATCACTGTAATTTCTCTGGTGATTACATTTCCAACCTGTTTTATAATTTAGTAATCTTCCTACAACTTACAGTATATCTGTAATATTCAATCAGAATGCATTTATGGGTACATAGTGAACAGAATGGAATGTGGTAGAGGAAACAATCTCACTTTAGTGTGCATGTTATAATTTACATGTGTATACATATGATTCAGGGACTCATGTGAGTCTCAGATGTCTCTGCTGTTTCATCGGCCTGGGGTTAATGAACGTCCTCTTGGGTAAGGAATCAGGATGTCTAAATCTGATGCTGTGTGGTGGACCTGCATCTTCAAAGGGCTAAACTTCAAGAAAATGGTCATTATAATTTTGAGCACTTCTTCCTAGAGCTGAAATGAATGAATGAATGTTTTCAAAGCATTTTTAGAAACTACATTTCTCATTAGTTATTAAGATTGCAGTTACCAAGATGGAGGTGTGAGTGACTTTTGCCAACACAGAACGTGAAGTGTTGAGGCAGCTGAAGACTGAGCCTCTGCCATTGAAATTGGTCCCCAGCCCATCTATGCTCCAAATCATTAATGGATTCTGCAAACAGTTACTGAGTGCTTACCACCTGGCAGACCCTGGGCTAGTTAGTGGACTCACCAAGATAGATAATATTCCTGCCTTCATATTTTTTGTTTAGAGAAGTTTTCCTCTAATGTGTTATTTGGGCCACAGATGTCTTTAAGAATGTAGATAGTGTGGTGATACACACCTGTAATCCCAGTTACTTGAGAGTCTGAGGCAAGAGGATCACAAGTTCAAGGCCAATCTGGGCAGTTTAATGAGATCCTGTCTCAAAATAAGAAATGAAGAAGAAGAAAAAAAAAATGCTGGAGGTGTAGCTCAGTGGTAGTGCTTGCCTAGCTAGCATTTGTGAGCCCTGGGCTAAATCCTCAGTACTGCACCCAAACAAACAGACACCCTCCCCACACCAAGAAAAGACCAAGCTAGAATGTGTGACTGTGACAGTGATTAGTGATAGACTCTTTCCCCTGAAAATCATTGTCAGTCAAACTCCTAAACACACACTCAGAGACATGGGTACGTGTGGTGTGGTTGCTGTAGGGTCGAGGAGACCCACACTCACAGAGTTTTGTATTCATTTCCCAGGAGTCAGACAATATGGAGCTCAAGTCCTCAAAGTTCCTCAAGAGGGCTCTAAGTCCCTCTTCTCCCACCCTTCAGCTTGTCTTGGCTCTAACCTCTTGCTTACACCTTGTGATGTCCTGGATGAGACTTTCTACTCATTTCCTTTTCAGATTTGACCAGGAAGAGTCAGGAAACCTTGGAAGAAAAGAGTCCAAGGGAGCTTATCAAGCTTGAGTTGGCAGCCTTCATATTCTGTGGTTTTGCGAGAGTCACTTTGTTCCTTTTTTTGCATCTGAGTAATAGAAAGGGTTTGATTTGAGAAACTCTGAGATAATTTCATGATGGGTTAGAAGGGCAGGCTTTGGAGACAGACAGAGTATCTGGAGAGAAAATACATTACCCCAGATAAATTACTTGTTAGCTATTTTGAGCAAATTATCAAAGCCTTATTTCTCATACATGAAATGAGAAAAAACATTTTGTGGAATATTTTTGGGACTCAGCTGAGACAATGTATGTAAATTGTTTAGGACAAAATGACACCTATTATCAACCTGGTACATCCCAGTTGTCTTTCAAGAGAATTTAACAGATTAAATATATTTTGAACACCTACTATTTCACTAGCATGGTTTAAGTCCGTGATTATTCTCCTGTGATGCTAACCCAGCCACTAGGCCATGTTATAGGACAGTACTGAAGGAATTCTGTCAGTTTCAAACAGCCTGGTTTAATTTCTTGGCTCCAGCAAGGACCAGCTGGGTGACTCTAAGTGATCCATTCTTCATTCATTTTCCATTTCTGAAAAGAAAAATGGAGAAAATGATATCATATGGCTCATTCACAACAGAGTGGCTCTTGGATTTAGATGAGATTATGCAATTAAAGCATTTAGCACAGTGGCACAAAGAACACTCTTGATTTGTGTTAGGCTGGTTCAATATTAATAGCAGTATTATTTATCAATTAGCTTCATAGCACTCCTGTCTCTCTTCCCTGGGTTAGGATTTCATAAAAGTTCAGGCATCTCGCTTATCCAGGCTCTTATGGTGAAATTAAGATCTTGATTTAAAATTGGTCTTTATATAGGGGTTACCTGGCAAATATTTATGGATCCTGCAGATAGCTCTTATTGCTACTAATTCCCTTTAGTAAAAGATGACTGATAATTCTTCTTTATATGTTTTCATTTAGTACCCTAACCCCATGGATAGAAATGTCATTTCTGTAAAAGTTGTGGAGGAGAGAAAAGGTAAGTTCTTTGAATGTATCCTCACTTCAGTGATGAGCAGTAAGTGATACTGACTTTTGTAAAGATGCTTGTATGTGCATGTGTGTGTATGTATGAGATCTATTATGTCTTAAACAATTATCTTGTTACTTTCTAATACTAGTTGATGATAATGTTGGACTATAATTGTAACATGTAACCTTAGAGGGCATTTAGTATGTGCCAGGCACTCTTATTTAAATAGTAGGGTTATTCCCATTTAATGAATGAAGAAATTGATGTACTGAGATGTTAGTCAAGGTCACAGTGGTTATGAAGTGTGATCAAAATATATGATGAATGTTTAAATTTAAAACTTTTATTACAATAAAAGATATATTGTCATTAGCTCCCCTCAAGATATGCCCTGTCACTTTGAATATATTTCTCCCATTGCCTCCTTCTGAAATGGTTCTGGGAGTATCTTTATGGAGTATGATAAAAAAATATGGTGAATGCCACTGCCAAGTGCCATCCAGGTGAGAGTCAGATCCGTGAAAACCTTATGGTGTGTCCTCATCCACCTCATTTCGCCAGATCTGGCACTTCAGTGACTTTCAGTCCTCTCCTAAACTCAAAATGACCATGAAAGGTAAATGTTTTGAATTGATTTAGGACACTGAGGACTTTCAGATGGGATAAGTGTGTTTGAAGCAAGGGGGAGTATTTTGAGGGTGAGTAATGGCAATGTGTCTTTTACTGTAATAAATATTTTTTTAATTTAAACATTCACCACTGAATTTTTCTATCATACCTCATATATCTCTATCATACATTCATATATCAACTTGTAGACGTCAAAACAGGTATGAATAATAGCATATATGTGAGATGTGACCATCAAGCGATTAGAGTACGGAGTTATATCTGAACTTGACAGTGTGGTTCAGTATCAACTAGAGGAGGGCTTGACAAATAATGACTTGTAATGCATGTTTTATAAGTAAGGTTTTATTGTGATGTGGTCACACTCATTTGTTTATTATCTATAGCTCCTTTTTTTCTGTAATAGCAGAGTTGAGTATTTTCAACAGAGAGTTTATGGCCCATGAAGCATGAATTATTTACCATGTTCCCCTTTTCACAAAATCTCGACTGTTGTCACTCTCATCCCCAGTGCAAACGTTGTTACTGTCAGTGTTTGAATTTGAGGAATGCAAGGCGCAGGAAGACACAACCATGTGCATATAATCAGTGCACAGACCTTTGGAGACAGACGTCCAGGCCGTGATCTAACACGCTCTTCAGCCTTCTTAGAAATCACAAGCTAGACTTGTAGGTTAACTTAACTCTGGGGCTCTCATGCTAGTGAAATAGTAGGTGTTCTCTGTGCTTGGTAAAGATAAAACTGCCCTTTGCTTGTGAGCGTATTTTCTCTCTAAATATATTTCAAAACATTTTTGTTTTGGTGCCTGTGCTCAGTGTGGGAGAACTTGCTACTTGGCCTCAAGACCTGATTTTTGTAACTACCTTCGTGGTTTAACTTTTTGGAGGCTCGGTTTTTTCATCTATCAACTGGAGAAATAATTGTGTTTTTGTGTTGTTGTGAAGATCAAATGTGAAGATGGTTGTATGTTCTAAAGTGGTATAGGAGTAATTATTATTTCTGTCATTGTTAAGGGCATCTCTGCCTCCAGTAGTGGCTAATTCATTTTAAGTATGTGTGTTGCAAATACTGGATAAGAATGTGAAGGAGCAGAAGATTTTGCACACTCTGGGAAGCTTCTGGAAGTCAGGATGATTGCAGCAGGGGCCAGGACTCCAACATCTAGAGGTTTGAGAACCAGGGCAGCAGAGCAGCTGAGTCCCATGAATTCAGAGGGCACATGATGGCACTTTGAAGTTTGTCTTGTTTTCTGCCTCTGCCCCGCTTTCCCCGTTAAACTCGTAGTTTCATTGTATTACTAGTGTTACACCGGAAATTTCTCTCCAGAACAGATTCAGTCACAGGGCGTTTTCTCTGCTATGAGACAAGAATATGGCCAGTATAATTCATTGATTATGCATTTAAACTTTGTGGTCAGTAATTTATGCTTCAAAGTGTGATGTGGAAGGTGGCAGAATCATATTCTCTTTCTCACTGTTAAAACATTCTCTGTTGGATCAGAGAAGGAAGAGTACAGCGGTCATTGTCCCTTAGGCATTGACAGTGGCAGTCCAGAGTAAGGGACAGTGTGTGATTATTATTTTTTTAGTTCCTGACTTCACCATGGCATTGTACATTGTGGTTTTACCCTAATTCCTTGATCACAGATAAGGAGTATCTATGATTTGGCCCAGAAAAGTGGTCAAGGAAAGTGAATTTTGAGTAAATATTTTCTCCAGAAATTCTACTCATGCATATAGAAAACGGAGATTGCCTTTAAAGGCTTTACTGAGACATTAAGACAAAATGCATTTTCTTAATTTTTTTAAATAAAAATTTCTTTTTCTAGATGAAACAACAGGAATCATCTATAGAAAGAGGATCGCAATCTGTCAGAATGTGATTCCAGAAATTTTAAGGAAGGTAAATTCTTTTTAAAGCATAATTACAGTGAGGTACTACTGAGTAATGTTTAATAGTCATGGACAGAGCATTTTTAGACGTAAGGGCGCACTGGGACTTCCTGTTTCCCCCACTTCATAGCCCGTCTTTCATAGCCAACCCAGGTTTGGTGCATGTCACTGGAGATAATTTTGTCTCTTTCTCTCTGTTCTGTGAAGGGCTCTTAATAGACATAGAGATATTCTATGGTAATTTTAAAGATACTTTCATAATTTTGCATGAAATGACTATCTTTTAAAATCTTTCCATGGTTAGAAATGATAAAAGTGACTAGAAGTTGGCAGATTATAAATATTTAGTATGATTTTGAAGTAAGGAAAAGTTTCAATTTCTAATTCACTCTTAGAAATTTCTGACAGTAAAATGTTCTTAGTGCTCTGTGTAAGCCTTTCTGTGTGTGTTTCTGTAAGGTAAATATTATTGATGATGAGATTTTCATGATAGAATGTTGTTTTCTTTTTGAAACCTTTAAGCATTCTGGTGATTATTTTTTGGAGAAAGGTGAGTGGAAATTTTTAATTGCATTTCTTAAACCATAGAAGGACTTTTGACAAAAATCTTTTAAAAATTATTAGGAAGTACATACTTTTAAAAATGTCTTGAATGGCTGGGGATTTAGCTCAGTGGTTCTAATGCCTGCCTCACAAGTGCAAGGGCCCGAGTTTGATCCCCAGTACCAAAAAAAAAAAAAAAAAAAAATGCTTTAATG